TAATAATAATAATAATAATAATAATATAGTAAATACGTATTTAACTATTAATTATACTACTTAGGCTGTATTTGTTTGGCGGGAGTGCAAGGATTGGGTTTTAGGTATGTCTTTTATCCATTATTAATTATTAATGCATTATAAAATTTATTGTAAATGATATTATTAACATATTAACATATATATATTATCTTAAAATAGGTTGTCAACACGATGCGGTAGCTACTGGATTGGCTAATTTGTTTGGAAATAAAGGTGGCATTGGTATTTCAATATTATTTGGGAACACTTCTCTATGTTTTATAAATAGTCATTTAGCAGGTTTGTAATTTTTTTGATTTCAACTTAAAAATATTTATTACTTTAAAAAATTTCATTTATTTATTATTAGTTTTTTAAATTTAGCTCATCAAAGTAAAGTTAAACAACGAAATCATGATGTGAAAAAAATTTCCAAAGAAATGAAATTAAAAGGGTTTAAACCGGAAGATAAACGTATGTTTTCATTGTGTTAATCATTGCGATTTTATTTAAAATATAAACTTATTTGAATAAATATATACTTATTTGAATATATTTTAAAGGTGAACCAAATGTTACTGATAGGTTTGATTACGTTTTTTGGTTCGGTGATATGAATTACCGTATTGACTTACCCAGAGCGGAAGTTGACGAATTAATTGCAAAAAAAGATTTAAAAGTGAGTATATATTATTGTGATATTATTTCTTGTTCGTGATAAAATTTGTATCAAATAATTAACTTATAATATGTAATCATATAATAAGACTCTCCTACACAACGACCAATTAAAACAAGAACTTTCAAACTTCCCTTTTTTTTTTAATTTCAACGAACATAAAATAGATTTTAATCCGACTTTTAAATTTGACATAACTCATCGTCTAAATCATAATAATGATGAATATTCTCCATCATCTACATCTGCTTTAGTTGATTCAAATTCACCAAGGTACGATTCAGGTCCAAAACAACGTGTACCAAGTTGGACTGATAGAATAATTTTTAAAACACGTTTACCTCCAAAACATGGAAAAAGCAAGAGAATTGATGTTGGAAGATATACAAGTCATATGAATGTCATAGGATTTTCGGATCATAGACCTGTTACTGGTAGCTTTTTCGTGGACTTTGATTGGAAATCAGAACAAGAACTATTAGATCGTTTATTATTGGAAAGGGAAAGATTAGAACAAGATCAAATGGACTCTAGTACTAATAGTGACAATAGCAATAGTAGTAAATCTGGTGGAACAAGAAAGAAAAAAAGTTTTTGGAAAGTTTTAAGAAAATAATATTCTTTCCCTTACTCCTCGCATTCTATGAACTTTCAATGTTACTTTCAATCTATGAATTTGATGACTCCGCTCTTATTTATTTTTAATTCTCACTCCTAATTTTTCATCTAATTTTTCATGGTAGTAGAAATGCAATACGCATATACTTTAATAAATCGTGTTAATAATGTTTACGTTCCTTAATTCATATGTAAATTCATATATGTAAATTCATATACGTATGTAAATTCATATACATATGTAAATTCATATGTAAATTCTTATACGTATGTAAATTCATATGTATATTCATATGTATATGTTATATTTACCTACAAATCTAATTTCATATTTTAATACAATACCAAACTCCTATAATAGTGATAGGTAATTAATTAATCGATTAAGTGTACATCGATTCTTATTTATCTGTATTACCTTTTTATTTAATGTTCAATAATGATGAAACATTGTATAACGCAATATATACAAACGTAGTTTACAAATAAATTTCTGTGGGCTGTTATATGAAAATTTCTTTCAAGCAGTAGAAAAAAAAGAGTGTAAATATCGAAAGGCTCTATAAAACAATATAATTAACCGTACAAATGTTAAATATAATATAAATATCGATCTCTCTAGCAAATAACACTCGTGCATTTTTTTGATTATAAAATGGATACAATGAAACCATTGATGCCATAAGTATGAATATATATATATTATTGAAAAAAAAAGGGTTTCAAAAAAATTATTAATAAATCAACAATAAATATATAAATAACACGTAAAACAAAACATACACATTTGGTTTGGTTAAAAATACACAAATATTAATCCTACCCAATTTTTGTTCTCTTAAAATCACCACTTATATCATTTTCATTTATATCATTTCCATTACATTTATCGTCATCTGTTATAGTACGTTTAGCACTGGCATTTATTGAATCTGAGGGATATGTAGGAGGTTGACCCCATCCACTAGACGTATCTATTGCATTATCATCTTCATTATCTTCATTCCAATCGTCTTTTAAACATCCCCAGGTTGATAATTCATCTCGAGGAATTGAGAAAGGTTCTTGATATTCAAATTCTATCTCTTCAACAATATTATCATAAGTTTCATCCTTTATTCCTGAATAAAACAACCGGTAGAAAATTATTTTACAATAAATACAGAAATAGATTACAAAGATCTGTATACAATATATTCATGCGTGAAGACGCACATACCATCGACTGATATATTATCAATGTCTTGAGGTTCAATTTCATTTTCATCCTCTTCTTCTGCTTTTATTATTTCTTGTATCCAATCACCGAATGACTGGATATAAATTTCACCCATTTCCTTTGTAATTCCTTTTTCTTGTGCCAGACTATATTTTTTACCACCTTCTAGAAACTCTGAAAACATTTTTGATTGACCCAAGAATCCATTTGGAACTTTATTTACTTTCTTATCGTTTTTAACAGTAAGCCAACAATGTGTATCATCAATCCATTGAAAAAATATATCTCCATATTCTTCGAAAATGGCGTTCATTGTCGCTTTGGAACAAGATACTGGAATTTTTGATAACAAGAATCCATTCGTTTTTGTTGGAGGATCTAATCACAGTAATCACAGGCAAAATAGTAAATATATTTATTAACGTAAAAAAACTCAAGTGGGTAAAACAATATCATCACTTACATCCGTCATCACCATCCAAATTTATATACTTGAAATCTGATCTCAATAAATGCAATTTGTTAAAATAACGCGTCAATTTTTCTGTTGACATCATATATTGAAATAAATTCATTTCATTTTCTTCGTTTTGCTCTGGATCTGTTGCCATATCTTCATTTGGCAGTCCATTTGTCGGACAATCGCCCAATACATTAGCATAAACATCAATCTTCTCCTCTAATCACATATCAATAAAGAGACTTGTTATAATATTTGTTAAATATTGACGATAATGAAGTAGACTAACTCCACATTTTTACCTTTTTCGTGGAGAATAAATACTGCAATTCTGATAAAGTTATACCCAGTAATATACGCGTCGTAACCGGCCTCGTGATTTTTATTTTCATCATTAAGCGTATATTGAGTGAATCTAGGATCCAGAACTGTATATAAGAGATATTTGTTCTAACAATGATTTTATATATAACTCGGTGATGATGTAAAAATAGGCATACCAACTTTCGGTGCTAACTTTTCAAATTGCTCTTCTTGAACAATTTCTAAAATATCTTGGACGCTATTTCTCGGTAAAAGTGACTAAAAATTGTGAAAATATAGTTCTGGTAATTACGAAA